TTCCCAAGAGGAGTGGGAATGGCTGAACCCATCTCAGAAGGATTTATATAAAGAAGTTATGTTGGAAAACTACAGGAACTTGTTATGGCTTGGTAAGAATGGTTCTCCCCTAAATTAAAGTTTTCCCTCTGAGATGTTTTTGTTTCCCCATTGGAAATACCATGCCTTAAAAATGCTTATAGAATTGGAAATGAGTAGCTCTCTTTGCTACAAACGGGGGTTTGGAACAGCAATATCAGCATGCCCTGGAAGTTTGTTAAGATGCAATTCAGGGGTCCTACACCAGACCTACTAAACCAGAAGCTCTGGGCATGTGCCCAAGTATTGTGGGCTTTATTTAATAAGCCCTCCTACTGATCCTGATACCTGTTATACTTTTAGAGCCCCTGAAGTTTGTGATTCAGTAGGCTTGAATTGAGATCAGAGTTTGCATTTTGAAAATAGCACATAGGTGATGGTACAGCGGCTCCTGCGTTTTGAGAGCCACTGCTAAGAAAGAAGCTTCATCTTCCTCATCCTCCCATCCTTTAAGCACCATCCCATTCTGTGGCCCTTCCTCAAATGTCTTTTCTTGTTTGAGGATCAAGGGATTGGATGTGGGACCCGGAACAGCTGTTGCATGCCAATTTATTTGTCAGTCTTTTGCCCTCATTTTTCTCTTTCCTTGTAAATAGGACTCTCCTTTTCTAAACCCAACATGGTATCTTTGTTGGAACAAGGAAAGGAACCTTGGATGGTGGGAAGAGAGATGCCATGTGGTCTTTGTGAAGGTGAGTGACAAATAAATGGCCAGGGAAGGCTGCTGGAAGTTATCCATCCAAGTGGCCACTCAGAGGCTGCTCTAGTGGCATCTGAAATCTCTTTAGTATGTGCTGCCCCAGAAGCCTTATCTTCACTTTGGGCTTTTATTTTCTCCCTATTTCTGTCAAGTTCTATAGTCTTCTATCTATACCCTGAGTCTCAAATTTTCAGTTTTTCCCCTCCTCTTTAAGGTTAGAATGATACACATTTCTAGATTTTTTTAAAAAATATTTTATTTATTGTTTTTATTTTATGTGTATGAGTGTATTGCCTGCATATAGGTAGGTGCACCCATGTAGTGCAATGCCCGAGAGGACAGAAGAGGCTGTTGGATTCCCTGGAACTGGAGTTACAGACAGTTGTTAGCTGCCATGTGGGTGCTGGGATTCGAACCCGGGTCTTCTGCAAGAATAACCAGTGTTCTTGACCGCTGAGCCATCTCTCCAGCCCCTCGTTTCTAGATTTTTAGAACATTTATTTATTTATTTATTATTGATTATATATTTTTTGGTCTTTTTGAGACAGGGTCTCCCTGTAGCCCAAGCTGTCCTGGAACTCACTATGTAGACCAGGCTGGCCTTGAACTCACAGAGATCCGCCTGCCTCTGCCTCCCGAGAGCTAGGATTAAAGGCTTGCACCACCATGCCTGGCTTTATTTATTTATTTTTATTTTATATGTGTGAGTGTATTACCAGCATGTGTGTAAGTGCACCAATGCCAGGAAATGCCCATGGAGGTCAGAAGAAGGTGTAGGATCCCCTGAAACTGGAGTTATGGACAGTTGTTAGCTGCCATGTAGGTGCTAGGAACTGAACCTGGGTCCTCTGCAAGAGCAGTCAGTGCTCTCCACTGCTGAACCATCTCTCCAGCCCCCAGGGGAACCTTTATTTTTATCCAAATTATTGTCAAAGATATGTATGGATATTGTTGAAAGAATCAAATCATTTTACAAGGCTTTTTTCCTAGTGGGATTTTCTTATCCGCCCTCTAGTTTCCCTCTTCCTAGAGGGACCTACTTTCTTTTCCTCGATCTTCTTTTGGTGTTTCCTTCAGGCCATTGAGATGGTTTAGCAGGTAAACATGTTGCCACCAAGCAACCTGATGACCTGAGTTCAATCCCTGAGACCCACTAGTTGGAAGGAGAGAGCTGATGCCCAAAAGCTGTCCTCTGACCTCCACACTTGTGCAGTGGCCCATCACACATGTATATGCATACAAACAAATAAATATATGTTAAAAAATTGTAAATACATGTTAAAAAGTTTGAGTGTTTTCATCATATTCACACCCCACTGCCCCGTCTTATCCCCTGCTCTCAAGCTGACCACCATTCCTGAGTGTTTTGTTCAGGCTTAGTAATTGCCTAATGTCTTCTAAGAAGATAAGGATTATAAAGATGCGATATTGAAAAAAAAAAAGAAAGAAAGAAAGAGAAGAAAGATTTAACATTTTTTGCTTAAGTCTTGTTTAGTCTTAGGTTCCTAACCCAATGTATGATATACAGTATTCATTCAGTAAGTGTATTGAATAGTAAGGCCATACATACATACACACACACACACACACACAAAAAAAAAAAAAAAAAAAAAAACACACACACAATTTTTTAATACTCCTGGGGATTGAACCTATACTTGTCAAACATGTTCCTCAGCCCTGATTTAACATTTTCTTACCCTGATCCTAACACACAAACACATACATTCCCACCCTCCTATCCTGTCGATAGCTTAATTTTGATTAAATCATTATTCAGTGCTTACATTAGTACAGTTTTTTAGTGCTAGCTGTAGCTGTCCTTCAAACTCTCTCGGCTTTTTCCATACAGACAGGGAATTTTAAACGTCACTGTTGTGATATTCTTTCACCAAGATTTTGATGAAAGGACGCTCTCAAATGCAAGGTATTATTCTAAAGACTTTTTGGGGGTACAGAATTTTTTTATACTATTGATCATTTTGTCTACATGTTCTTTAAAATAATATTCTAAATTCAAAAGAAAATTCCTTATAGAATTCCAACTGAAATAGATCTAAGTGAATAAGAAGTTTAAAAAGTGTGCGTGTTAGCCGGGCATGGCGCACGCCTTTAATCCCAGCACTCAGGAGGCAGAGGCAGGCAGATCTCTGTGAGTTCAAGGCTAGCCTGGTCTACATAGTGAGTTCCAGGTCAGCTGGGGCTACAGGGAGACACTGTCTGAAAAAAAAAAAATGTGCATGCATCACTTCTTTTGGTGCAGTTAGACCTTTGTTTAAATCTTCTTTAAAGTACTTCTGTAAAATTTGAGAGGCCCTTTTAGTGTCCCTGCAGACCGCATTGTGATGTCCGCTCATTGCTTTGGCTTCTCATGCTCTTCTGCCTTACCCCTCGCAGTCTGACTTTTATCCCTCTAGTTTAACTACATACAAGTAACCTTCTTCATTTTCATACCTTGCTTACTGAGATGTCCAAGTAATCTGATGACCATCCTTTTTCTCTATTCAAACATTGATCTGACTTTCTGATTCTTTTATTGACTCCTATCCCTGCTTTTCTATCTTTTTCCTATTTAATAACCATAAGGTCTTTATCATATTAGTTTGAACCTCCGTCCAGTGCTGTCTAGTAACATTTTCTGTGCTGATTGTAATAATCTATGTCTGCCTTTTCCAATTTAGTAGCTGTTAGTAACATTTAACTTCGGAATTCTTCAAGTGCAGCTAGTGTGATTGAGGAACTAAATTTTTTAAATTTCAACTAATTTAAAAAGTTGTCACATACAAGGACTACTGTATTGGATAGCATAACTCTTCTTTAAAATGTATTGTATTGCCAGGCATGGTGGCGCATGCCTTTGATCCCAGCACTGGGGAGGCAGAGCCAGGCAGATCTCTGTGAGTTCAAGGCCAGCCTGGTCTGCATAGTGAGTTCCAGGACAGCTGGGGCT